AGGAAGAAAGGGAGTATGTGACAGCAAGCACAGACAGCTAGGGCCAGGAGTTATGAGGACAGATTTAATTAACACTTTAGAGGGAAGAATGATATTCTATATTTTAACGTATAGAGGATAGAAAACCAAGTCCTTTTCTAAGAAGAACACCAACTAGGAAGCAAACACTATTAAGATATGAGAGTAGGAACTTCATAATACTGATTCTTTCGCTTTTAAAAGTTTATTTATTTATTTTGAGAGGGAAAGAGAGAGTGTGCACAGAAGGGGAAAAGAGAGAGTGGAGGAGAGAGAGAATCTTGAATCTTGAATACATGGGACTTGAACTTACTAACCATGTGATTAGGACCTGAGCTGAAACCGAGCGTTGGACACTTAAGTGACTGAGCCACCCAGGCAACCCTCAAAATTCTGACTCTTAAAAGATAAATCTACGCTACCGATGAGAGATGGAATAACAAACTCACCTGACTGTGATTATATTTCCACAGGTACCCAGATGAGTCCATATGGGGAACTGTTTCATCAGGCTTATCGGACTAGCACAGATACCTGGTCTACAAAAACAGTAAATATTAAATGCTTAATGGAATATATGATATGAAGTAAAAAATATAAGAACTCTTTTTTTTTGAGAGAGAGAGGGAGAGAGAGAGAGACCATGGGAGCGTGAGCAGGGCAGGGGCAGAGAGAGACTCTTAAGCAGGTTCCATGCCACAGCACAGAGCCCGACTGAAGCGGGGCTCGATTCCACGATTGGGAGATCATGACCTGAGCCAAAGTCAAGAGTGGGATGCTTAACTGACTGAGCCACCCAGGTGCCCCCAAAATATAAGAACTACTAAAAGGTGACTATTTTCACAGAGTTGGCAAACATACAGCAAAGGTAGTGGAAATTCAATTTTCTCTTCTGAAGAATTCTTTAGGGAAAGTCCAAAGCCTGAAATGGCACACAGAACTTTTCCTGATATGACCTGTGACCTCTGACCTGGACCTTGCTTTACACACACCTTGGCCTCCAGCCTTTTTAAACCATTTGTAGTTGTCTATATTCATCTTGTATGTTTACTCCTCCCTTGCACACAGGTCTGAAATGCCCTTCCTTTTCTTATCTGACTGGTAAATTTCTTTCTTCAAGGTACCCTTTAAGAACCAGTACTTTTGAGATGCTGTCTCCAAGGACCCCAAAAAACTAATTAAAATTAATTATTTCTGCCACCCTTTTCTGTAGCATCTTGCATATGTAATTACCTAATTCCTTACAACATTGCTATAATTAGTATACGTCTGTCTCAGTATTTTATTTCTGTTAGTATTTTTGGAAACTTGGACACACACTAATTCATTCATTGCTCATTGAATGCCCACCAATGAGTTTAGTAAATGTCTATAAAAAATTTTCATTATTACTAATCAGTAATTTGAGATTATCTTTTGAACTTATGATTCCCTACTTTCATTTCCTTAGGATAGCTCTTTGAAAGTACAAGTCTCCAAGAACGTCTCACTAATATAGGCCCTTATATTTTTACAGGTGGACTACAACCTTTTTTAAACCATTATCTCTTTGCACCCAGTCTCTCTCCATTGCCAATCCTACGCCTAATTCTGAAGATAATCTTTCTTAGTACCTATTCCTATCTCAAATGGTTTATAATTTTTAAAAGTTTATTTATTTATTTTGAGAAAGAGAGACAGCGAGCGGGGAAAGAGGAAGAGAGAGAGAGAGTTTCACAGAGCCTGAGGCAGGGCTCCAGCCCACAAACCATGAGGTCATCACCTGAGCAGAAGTCAGAAGCCTGATGGACTCAGCCACCCAGGTGCCCCCTATCTAAAATGGTTTAGTGAAAGGGATCCAACTCTTGATCGCCACTCAGGTCATGATCTCATTCATGACTCGTGGGTTTGAGTCCTGCTGCAGGCTTTGTGCTGGCAGTGCAGCCTGCTTGGGATTCTTTCTCCCTCTTTCTCTGCCCCTCCTCCACTCTCTCTCTTTCTGTCAAAAATAAATAAACTTTAAAATAAAATACTTTAAGTAAGAATTCTCGTTTGATTATTTGATGAAACATGAACTCACATTCCATTGCAATCCCTCCCTATATCTTATCCTCCACAAATACTAATACATCTCTTTATTCTGAGCTCAGGTATTTCCTTTGACAATACTTTGACAACAATTCTTTGGCGCATCTTGCATTCCACTTCCTTGACAAAATCTTCTAATATTCAGCCTCATTTAGCAAGGGCTTCACCATTTAGAACTGTTTTCTCCTGTACAACTAGTGTCAACATTTTGAATCTCCCTCCTTTCAATACTATTTCAAGGATTAGGAAAAATTTTGTTTCCATTCCTTCATTTTGCATTTTGCTAGATATAATGTATACATTAAAATAATTGTTGATTTATTGACAATACTCCCCGCCACATTTTGTTACTTTACATTGGCACGCAACACCATATAACTTCTATATAATGATATTGCTTTCATGTTGTCTTCTGGCCATTTTTTTTTTTTTTTTAAAGAAAGTCATCTCAATCTATGGGTTATAAAACTGTTAAGAGTAGAAATGGATTTATATATGGAAAGTCACTGGAATGTAGCAGGAAAAGCACTAAACTGGGAGTAAGAAGAGTCAGGTCTGAATTCTGTCACTTGAATGGTTTGCTAGAAAGTTCTATTACCATCGTTTCTCTCTATCTGTGAAATAAAAACAAAATCCTCAAGAGTGTTGTGAGAATTAAATGAGATAGTATGCGTAAAAACATTCTGCAAATTTTAATACGCTATACAACATAAGGTCTTTCTTCTTATGTCTTCAAAATTATTTTGTGGATAGGACATGCTGTGCATTGAGCAGACAGTCAGAAAAGTCTCCCTGGGAGTCTTGGGTCAGGTAGGTGGGTCACATTTCTTCCAGTTTTTAAAGCAATAGCTGCAAAAACCTATTCCTTAGCTTTTTTGTGTTTCTCTTTAGGATACAAATTATTACAGTCCCGAGCAATTTTTGGCAAAGCGTTTTCCAGCGTTTTTCATCAGCTTACCAAATATGACCTCTTGCAGTCCTATTCCTTGCTTTATCAACTCACCCATGAAATTTGCCTTGTCAATTCTGTCTTCCATCTCACCGAGGAAGCTGTCACACTTGGAGCAGCCTTTATCCTCAACCTTGCCTGCACCGCTTTCCCGTGGGCTCCTCTTCCCCTCTGCTGGCTGCCAAGGAGAAGCACATTTATTGGCACGGCCCCCAAGCAGATGCCTGCCTGCTTCCCTTCCCCCTTTCTCTTGCAGCCAAAGCATCACCTGCCAAGGGCTGGTGGTTGCTGCCCCCGCTGTCCACTGCCTCACACTGCTGAGGCTCCGAGTCCTTTTTGGCAGCCTCTTCTGAAGTTCCCCTGCCCGCAGCTCTCCCGTGCTGCTTGCCAGCAGCCTCCTCCTCTTGCCCGCAGCTCTCCTCGCTCCCGCCAGCCTCTCCCCCGCTCGGTCTGCGCGCAGCCTCTTCCTCCCGCCCTTGCCAGCTGCTTTACTCGCCTTTCCTCAGGCTGCTCCCCCTCCTTTCTTCCCCAGCCCTTACCCTCGCTCTCGCAGCGAGGTTTCTTTCCAGCGCCCCCGCCCTCCCTAGCCCGGTGTTTTGTTAACACGCGGGACCACCTCTTCTGGGTCGCAGTGTGTACGTACGTCCTCTGGACAGAACATTTTCGGAAAGTGAACATTTTCTTCCCGCTTCTGTAATTCGACTTGACACCGACCCCCAAATCCTGTGCCTACTCCCTGAGCCGGGAAAGGCGGGGTGTTGTGACGGTAGAAGAGAGTCGGGGAAACAACAGGCCACAGGCTCGGTCGGTGGACCCCAACAAAGTTTTGGACGCTCGGTACTTGTTATCTCAGGCTGCCCAAACTTGACCAGCCCGGCAACCTACGCGAGCGCCCAAACGGCGCACAGCGACTCGGGCGCTCCCTCTGATTCCCCGCGCCCTCCGACCTTCCAGGGACGCTTGATTGGCGAGGCGGGCCGCCCTCCGGGATCCGGCCTGGGCCACTCCCCAGCCCAAGCCGGGGTCCGCAGCCTGAGCCCCACCCAGTCTCCGGGCGGGGAGGGGCGCACTTGTTTCTAGATGCTCGCGAGGGGGTGGGCGAGACGAAAGGATGGAACCGCCCAGGTTCCCGGGTTCCCGTCTCGCAGCTGAGGGGTGGGCGGTATGTTAAGGAACCTCATCCCAATCCAGGGCCCTTCTGGAGGTCTGGCTACTTCCAGTGCGCGGTACAGTAGCTGTTCCCCTTTACAAGCCGTCTCCTTTAAGAAGAAGAGGGCGCGCACGCTCGCGAGTGTGTGTGTGTGTGTGTGTGCGCGTGTGTAGTTGTGTGTGTGCTCATGTGCAGATATGTGTGCGCGCGCGCTGATGTGTGTGTATGTGTGTGTGTGCGTGTGCGCGCGCGCGCTGAGGGCCCGAGAGTCAGGCAGACCCCGGGAAGGAGGAGTTATGTAGATTACGGATGAACATTCTGGAGGGGAGCGAGGAGAGGAGGGAAGGAGAAGCAGAGGCGAGAAGCGAGGAGCGGCGGAGGCCCTTCCCGCAGAAGCAGGAGGCGGCAGCGGCGGCGGCGGAGTGGGCGGTGGAGGAGGTGGAGGAGGAGGAGGAGGACGCACGGGCTGGAGGAGGCGGCGGCGGCGGCGGCGGCAGCGGCGGCGGCGGCTGCTGCTGCGGCTGCGACTCGGCGCTTTGAGCCGGAACCGCCGGTGAACTTGGGCGCCACGTTCCCGGTGACGGGCCCCCGAGGATGGTGAATGCAGGCAGCTGCTGACCCTGCCTCCGCCGCTGCTTCTCGGGGGCTGCCGTGTGCTGGGCCCTCAGTCTCCTCCCCTTGCCGGGCTGTGGGTGAACCTGCAAGCTCCTTACCCACCCGGAGGACTTTTTTTTGAAAGGAGACCAGGGAGGGAGGGAGAGGGAGAGAGGGAGAAAACGAAGGGGAGCTCGTCCATCCACTGAAGCACAGTTCACTATGATCTTACTCACATTCAGCACTGGAAGACGGTTGGATTTCGTGCATCATTCGGGGGTATTTTTCTTGCAAACCTTGCTTTGGATTTTATGTGCTACCGTCTGCGGAACGGAGCAGTATTTCAATGTGGAGGTAAGAGTATGAGAGCCTTCTTCCTTCCCCCTTGCCTGAGCTGCTCCCTGAAACATTTCGTTCACTCCTGGGAGCCTGGTAGCTCCGAGCAGCCAAGGTCTCAACACATTGTTTCCCTTGTAGCCGCCGAGACCTTGGTTGAGTTTCCCTGTGTCTTAGGTGATGGATGCGCGCGAGACTGAGAATCCGTTATCCCCAGCAGCACAAAGCACGATGCTGCGCGCTCGGAGATACATTTGTAGCCGGTCCATGCTTGTCACCCAGGGAAAAGGCGAAGTCCTACATATAGCAAACGTGTAAAGCAGTTTGAGTTTGTGAGGAAAAAAACTGTTCAGGAAATACAGAATTCATTGCTTGGCATCATGTGCTGTCTTGGTATTGTTCCTGAAATCTTTCTCCCCGTGTTCTGTGCCTAACAAAGGAGGTTAAAATCAAAGAATCTGGAGGAGAGCGTGGGAATACTTGATATGTTTAATAACATTACTTTGTGATAAAACAGTTGACTAGACAGAGTCTTTTTCTCATTTAGACATAACTCAATACACTGTAACTAGATCTGGCTACACAGAGGACGTGAAATCCATCTCTTTTAAAGTGTCTTCTCTTCCCCTCCCCCCGCCAATTGAAAATAAACGTGGCCCAATGTAATAGTTCTGAGGTGTGTTTTTAATTTGATTTCACACTCTCATGGCAAAACCGAGAGGTTTTAGTCTGTCATTTGCTTTACTTTGATAGCTTTGGGAACAGACAGACATAAAGCAGAAGGGAACTTGAGGATAAGGACTTGTCAGACCTCTGCCAAAGTACTCTTCCTGTCATCAACTCAGCACTAAAGCCAGTAATGTGCAGTAAATCAATGGAAATGTGTATACGCCTGGGCTCTAACTCCAGTTTATAACATACACGGTGGAATACAAAGACAGGAAGAAGGTTTTAGTAAAATAGATTCCTTTTGATTAGGTCTTCTGTCTTCTGACATCTCAAAAGAATTACGATTAAGTCTCTGAAGAATAATGTGATTTTTAAAATATTGTTGATTCTTTAAAGCTTACTGTCATTTTGTTGGGAGGGTGTGTTTACACAATAGCAGGACCTGTTGCACAGCATTTGAACATGTTTCGTGTAACAGATTTATATACAAAGTGTGCATAATAAATGCCATGTGTGAGGCCATATTCTGAATATAACCCTGTGTTTATACAAACTGTTCCTAGGACTCCATGTAATAAGTCATGGTGGGTAGAGAAAGTATTTGGAAAAGTAAGAACCATTATCAAGAGTTGAAGAAGTTTACAGATGTTATGTATGATTATATTACACAGAAACCCCAGTTTGAAAACCAAAACTGTTTAACCTTTTGAAAAATACAACTTTGTTTTTCTGAATAAAAAGAGAGATGCAAAGGGGCTGAAAGTCCAGACTTTCTCTCGATTGCAAATTTGAACTTTAAGAATTATATGGCACAGATCGATTTTTCTATGTAACACTGAAATCAAGAGATAATTTAATGTTGAAATGAAGGAGTAATTAGTTCATAGACTGAAGGAATGAAAGTGGCAAGCTCTTATGTATGTTATAAACAGAAGGGCCCATTGCTTCAGTTTGGTGGTGATGGTGGTAAGGTGGGGCTTGGGGGAGGTGGGCGGAAGTAAGTGCTTGGTTTTATTTTGCTCACTGTGGAGTAGAAGGGAGAGTCTGGATTGATGGCTACTTGCTTTGGCAAAGTCTTAGATTTGCTTTCAGACATTGTTGGGATACCATCAGTGTTTGGGTGGTTATCAGGTTTCCTTTTTTGAGGCTACGCATAAATTCTATTGTATTTCTTTATAGTTTGAATCCCTTAGGCAGTTCAATCAGATATTATGCAAGAAAAGTTAATTTTACTAAAAAAGTATTTCATTTTAATTTTTCATGATCTTTTCTTCAAGATATATGTGAAAAATGGTTCATGGAAAAAAGAGTTATTTCCCCCATTTTTAGAGTATTTAAGTTATTTCATCCATGCTTATTATACTATGCAAATATTTATGAATGATAAGAGGCTGGTGCCATCTGAGACTTTAAAAGCCTTATTTGATACATAGGAAATTTTCTGATGAAAATTAGATTAGATTATGCTTCATAGTTTGTATTATTTCCAGTTAGTTTTTTAAGCACTGAGCATATTCTTAGTTGGGTTTATATACTTCCTTATGTGTAATGATAGCCATTATTTTTCTTTTTTAATCCTAAGAGTAGCTGCTAGTTATTTCCACATACTGTAAAGAACATGGGAAGACAGGATATTTTCTGACATGAATTTCTGCCTGATTCACCTTTATTAGATATTTCTTTTTGGTGGAAGCTCTAATAGGGAGACGAGTCAGTCACATCTTCTCTAGAAAAGCACTGATTGTGTTCTTCATTCTTGGTTGCAAAACAAACACTGGAAATGCTTTATTTGATTGATTCTCAAGGACAGTCTTAAAATAAACAGTAATGGTATCAATCATGCATGAAGCTCATATGATCATAAATTTTTTTCCTAGCAGGCACACCAAGTTATTATAGTTGGAACGAAGCTTCTGAGAGATGCTTTTTATGCTGACAGCTGAAATTACAATGCTTTATTCCTCACTGAACTTCACAATTGATGGGAACACTGTACTTTTTATCCCTATACTTTAAGGTTTAAAAACATATTTTCCCCTGGAGGTGTGGGAACTGAGTAGAAATACTCATGTTAACTCTTTCCTGCTTATTCGTAAGATTATAAGCATTTGGGATTTTCAGTGATCAGAGCAGGAGATATTTCTTAGTATGCTGGTGGAAGCCTGTGACATAGAAAGACTGTATTTTGTTTATTTGTTTTTGTTTTTAAGAAGCAAAAGGAACATCTCAATAGGTAAGAAAGGGTCAGACACTACCAGAAGTAGTGTATGGAAGAGATTCAATTCATTCATCTCCTTATATATTTTGGGTAGAACAGTTTTTTTTTTTTTATGCCAAATTTTCAGTGTTTATTTGTTTAAAGATTTTTGTACACTGTTGGACCCATTTCGGGGGTTGTGGGCCTTACAGTGTGTAAGTCATTACCACAATTCAAAAGAAGTATATTGCTAATGTTAACTAAAAGTCAAAGACTCCAATCATTGGACAGCAGTCTCAATCAGAGGTGTTCATTGGTCACATGAAGCTACACTGTTAACAAAGAATTAGGATTGAAACTCTGTGCTCTAAAAAATCACATTGTCTCTAAAATAATGTTCTTATGGGTAATATCATGATCCTGAGGCTCTTTATTTTTTAACTTTTGTGGGATTTTTTGTACTCTGCAAGCATTTTTGTTATGAAATTTGAGATAGTATGTAGTTCACGAGAGTAATAACTTTCATCATCAACTTTGTCAATGTTAAATATATTAGCAACATATCGTTTATTGTTTTTTAAACATTCACACACATTTCTAATGCGGAAAATTATTTTAAGCCAATTGAGTGGTAAAATAAAGATGTGATACTCTGAAAGATGCACATATCAAAGCATAAGAAGTTGATTACTTTCTTGTGGCAAATATAAAACAAAAATTGATCTTATTGTCCTAATTAATGAAAGAAGAGAGATTCTATATTTTTTAAATAAGATATTTTATGGCGAGTACTGTGAATCATGAGTGTAACCATTTCCTACATTCTTCCTACAGTATGTTTCTTTAACTGATTTAGTATTTATTCACCTTTATCAGGTTTATCTGAATCTACTTGAAAGGTCAGAATTTACTTGGAGTAGCTCTGTACTACATTTAAACTTGGCAGTAATTGGTGATGAGGCATTTCAGAGATTAAAGATATATTTTATAGATTTTAAAATGTCATATATTGGGGTTACTTTTTTCATATATCTTGCATTCTACTTGTTTAATCAACGTGCATTATTTCATTTCCTCATGGAAGGTGATTTGCTCATGCCCCCTTGAATAAGATCTGGTCAGCCCCCTTGAATAAGAGACTGTTCTGATTACATCCCATAATTCCCCCTGTAGTATTTTTTACTGGGCAAGAACAGAGGCTGTGTGACTGATTCATAAAGGTTTTTTATCTATTGCAAGATTCAAGCTTTCCAAGACAAAGTAGGAATGCTGGCTGTTTAGAATGCTCATAAGGACCAAAAACTATGACCAGGAGATCGGAAGACAGCTTCTCCTGTGTGTCCTACCTTATGCTTTTCTCTGTTCAGAGTTATCTGGTCAAGTTCCCCAGATCTAGGGTTATTCATTGAACCCTTACAGATGAGTGTGTGCTAGCCAGGTAGGATGTCTCTTACTATTCCCCTGAGAAGTCCACAGAGAACAACTTTCCAAGTCCATCGTTCTCTATACACTTGGGTTTCCTCTTTCAGTATCTTCTTTGCCATCAAGTAAGGATAGAGTTGGGTTCAATAACAGCTTTTTAAATCTCTGGAGTCAAGTTAAAAGTGGCAGATTTAAAGTTTTTACTTTTTCTTATTCATGCTATTTCAGGTTATGAACATAAAATTTTAATGTACTTGTTCTGTGGTATAATTCTTTTCTCTGAAGTTGGATTAATCAATTATTTTATGTAAATGTATTTCACTGCCTGACCTATCCCAACCACTCCAAGTGTACCTGTTCAGAATATTTGGTAAATGACCATTTGGAATTATTTCAAGCCCCCCCCCCCCCAAAAAAAAAGCCATGGGGCATTTGAATGAATTAGTTAAATTTGTTCAAGGTTAAAAGAGAAAAGATTTCTTTAGCTCCTTCAGGAACTTTCTGACCCTTCAGCATGTATATTCAAATTGAGAAACTCATTTTTTATGTTACTTTCTGTCACAATTTATTTTAAATATCTGTGAGTATAATTTTAGCCATGAAGTTGTTCTTTATTTTGGAGTAGTATAATGATTAAGATCACATACTCTGGCACCAGATTGCTAGATTGTAATCCCGGCTCTTTTACTTAATAATAAGTTAATTATTAGTTTAATAATGGACTAACTCA